GAGAATAACATTATAACATGATATAAAACTCAAAAAAGTTGATTTTACATGATATTGCCCCTTTAAATCCATTTTTTTTGTCTAAATGGGTTATTAAGGATAATAAATTTTTTTTGACATTATCAGTTGATTTTTAGTAATATTTCTCATCCAAATTATATTTTTAAAATATAAATTGTTTTCTAATACAATTTGTTGATGAAATGTTACAAACATTGGTTTCTGTAAATGTAGCAGTCTGCCTCATAACATATATGAAAAAATTGAGTCAAATCAAGTATTTCAAGAATCTTACCAAGTAAAATTTTCTTACTCCGTTCAGTCAAATTTTCCGACTAACAAGACAAATAATCTTACACATTCTGAAAACAAGATGATTATTCTTACACAATCAGTTCTTGTTTAGTAAATCAGTCTGAAAACAAGATCAAAAAGACTTTTTGGCTGATATAAGATTTTAAAACTTGGTTAGATGGACAGTTTTACAGTGTAAAAACATGATTTTGAGCAGGAAAGCCTTAAATTATTTGTTTTTCCTGCGAGTTAGCACCTGGTTAATTTTAACATCTACATATTGTTTGATGTTTCCTCTTTAAAATGACATGAAAAATGTTGTCAGTGGTAAAACCTAAACCAGGATTCAGGCCAAGTATCAGAGTTCTGCTGATCAGGAGAACAAATGAAGGCAGACCTGTGGAAACACTGGTGATATCAGGATGATCGACATGTAGATGAACCTGTTGAGCCCGATGGGCCCGGTTCAGGACCTACAGAGAAATGAAGGAGAAAAACTGGACTTAAAGGGTTTAAAAAAATAGGAATCTGAAAAAAAGATCATTTTGACCAAATCTGACTGAATCCTCAGTTTGATGTGATGGGTCACATACGGGAAAATCAAATGATCAATATCTGAAGATGATTGGTCTAAATAAATTATTTGATTGATCCATTGTGCTGAGTCATGCTTACTGCATGTTTTTGCTGTGACACAAATGAGAGAACATCAAAACCAAACATTAACTTCATGTCTAGATTATTACATCAGTCCAGTTTCATTGTTCATAAACTCAGGATGAGAGAAATATTAATTAATAAAGATTAATAATGTTTACGTTTCCTAACAGATGAAAACATGATTTTATTTTCAGATGTCAGCTCTTGAATGCAGATGAATAAAATCCTTAAAAACAGTGAGAACAAATTGTACCGATGTTTGAAACAAACGAGGCAGAACAAAATCAAAACTTTCAGTTTTTTTTAAAAGTTTAAACACAAAAAGTGTTTTAAGTTTATTGACTTCTGTCACTTTCTGTAGCTCGGTATAAAATCATGTTCAAACACATGATTTGTTTTTGATGCTGTAAATATTTTCTGCACATTCAGAGACTTAAAAGAGTCAAAAAGCCAAAGAAACATTTTGCTGATGAGTGACAGTTTGTAACAGACCCGTCTCTGAGGGCTTTATTTTGACTCTCAGGAGGATTTCCTCTGTGTAACGGCGCTGAACAGGGATTTCACAACAACGGGTCTGAGACGTTTGTCTTTAATGATCCTGCCTGCAGTGGAGCTCGCTCAGTTTCTTCTTCAGCTTTCAGGTGCAAACCGAGGCGACTGTGAGCCAACGCTCTGCAACCATGAACTGAGTGATGCCTTCAGGAACTGGTTAAAGGGAAGACAGGCGGTGAAAATGGTTCTTTTTCTCCTGTTTCTGTGCGTTCGCTGCATCCTGCCTGTTTGCAGCCTTTTTCAGGGGTCCTGTCCCAGAAAAGGTGAGAGCTCTGAATGTTTTTACTCCTGTAAACTTGTTTTACTTAATGACCTTTATTCTGAAAAACAAAACGTATCAACTAGTAAAACTACTTTTTCACTCGAGCACAATGTGTTTTATTAATGACGTAATGAGTAATCAAATACTTTTAAAGCAAAGGAATAATTGTTTTAATGGCGTTAATAACATTTTCAGTCGTTTAACAAAAACAATCACATTTTGAGAAATGTGTCCCGTCACATTGAAACAAGGATTAAGTCCAAAAGTGGTTTAAGGAGAAAAAGGCAAATATAGTGTTTTGACTAAAATGTTTTAAAAAATTGCATTTTGTTAAAATATAATGAATAAAAGCCTTAGAATGAACTGTCTGAAATATAATTATAAAACTAAAGTTTGAAGCACTTTTTTGAGCAGTAGCAACAAAAAACTGATTTTGAGGAAAAACATCTTAAAATGTTAAGATTTTCCCTGTGAGTTAGTAAATTTTTGATTCTTTTTAGCTGGAAAATCTCAATATTCAAATATAATCTGAGGTTTCCTCTTTATAAGGACATCAAAAATTCCTCATTAAAATGAACAAAATTAGGATTCAGACCAAATATTTATGTATTATTGTAACCAACAAGACAAATTAAGTCATATATATGGATTTAATTAAGATATCAGGATGATCCAGGTATCAAAATGTAGCTTTTAAAGACAAGAATCTGAAAATGTAATTAGGTCATTTTGACCTAATTTGATTTAATCCTCATTTCGATATGATGGCTCACAAATAAAGTTAGCTTGCGCTGTGATTATTTTAATTTACATTATTTCATTTTGTCATTTATTCCAGCTGGAATAAAAACCTGTTTTATGGTTTTGAACAGATTTTAATGAGTTTACTGAGGTTGTGATTTTTGTTGGTTTTATTAAGTTCACTGTTGAAATTTAGCACTTTTACTTTTACATCCTTTTGACACATTTTAAGCTAAACTCCAGTTGACATTTAAAATACTAAAACCAATGTAAATGTTGTTAAATACATGCTTACAGAAACGTTTAACCAGAAAAAGGAGTTTTTTGCATCAAAGCTCAGAGTTTGTGTCAGTTTAAGTGTGGAACACAGTGAGCAGTGAATCAAACTCCACAGCTTGTTTTAAGTTTGATCAATCAAAGTGGAGCAGAGGAGAACAGTTTGTGTCAGACCAGAGGTGACGACAGAACAGAAACTGGACCAGAGACCGATCAAAAGAGGAAGTTTAAAAAGAGTGGGTCGGTTTGGTTCTGCAACGTTGCTTCTGATCTGATCTGAGCCTGAAGACAGCAACACAGAGTGAACACAATGTTTGTTTGTTTGTTTGTTTGTTTGTTTGTTGTGCAGATCCTCCTCCAGGTGTGCTGGTCGTGGCTCCAGGTACCAGCCTGGTTCTGAGCTGCAGCGGTGATGTGAAGCTGAATGGAGCAGAGGTCATCCTGACCTCCTCCAGCATCAACAGAAACCAACCTGGCTCAGTCAGAACCTCGGTCAGAACCGGGGCCTCTCTGCAGAACTCTGTGAGCCAGAGGAACCTGGGTCCTGCAGCAGGAGGAGACCCAGACCTGGGGTTCTCAGGTACAGCCGGTCCAACCCCCAGCAGCAGGACAGCAGCAGACTCAGACCAGGAGGATGAGGGTCAGCTGAAGGTCACCGGAGACGAGACTCTGAGGCGTCACTGGACCTGGAGCAAACTGTCGGGTCAGAACAAAGAGGAACACACGGTCATCAGTCAGGAAGAGGTTCTGTCTCTGGATCCAGTGACGGTGATGAACACAGGCAAATACTCGTGTTACAGCAGAGGTGAGGAGAGCTTCACTGTCACAGTCATCGTCACAGGTGAGTTTTCAGTCCGGGGGCGGGGCTACAGGTGGGCCTTTTTAATTAAACAACAAAACACAAACTGTACCACGTACAAACTATAAGGTGTATTTCAAAAACAAACTTGCATAAAAGAGAGAAGGACAGGTGCAATTAAACACGAGAAATAATATAAAATAAGCAAATATATATA